TCTGATTACTTCCGCAGAGACGGGTGTCGCCAGGTTTTCCCTGTGTCTCTGCCTGGTAGAAATCTAAGCATAGCTCTGCCTGGAGAGGGCACACGAGCATTGTTCCGACAATCGAAGGAATATGTTCCTGTTCCTGGATTATTTGACGCTTTGACTGTTTTCTTCGGGTTGACGGCCAAGGACCATGCTGTATTCGACCACGGTCATGTCACCAGGTTCGAGCTTCACGACAGCGAAGGCCACCGAACCAATCATGTAGACCCATCGCGAAGAATCATTGAACATCAGCGAAGAGATTTCACTTCATTTCTCAACGGCGATAGTCTGAAGGCCATCATGAAAAGATTCGAGAACAATTTCTGCAACGAACTCCAAGGACAACTACTCGATGCTCCAACTACCCATATCCCGGATCTCTACACCTTCATCAGGGACTCCATCTTCAAAGCCGAAGTGGAAGCTCTTTACGGGGAGATGATTTTCAAGATTTGTCCCTCATTCTGTCAAGATTTCTGGGATTTTTATGCTGCGTTTCCCGTCATCTCCCGCCAACTCCCAAGGTGGCTGTTTCCGAAAAAGTATCAGAAGAGAGACAAGATGCTTCAAAATCTCCACGCGTGGCGCATTCAATGCAAGGCTAAGCATGATTCTTCAGACGAAGGTTATCTCGACTGTGAGGAGTATGAACCAGTCTGGGGGACTCTCTATATCCGAAGAATGGTACAACGACACGAAAAGCTTGGATTTTCGGATGACGGAATTGCTTCAGCTCTCCTGGGTTACCTGTTTGTGTAAGTTTGTTCCATAGACTTGGTCCTGGCTTCCGTTCACCTGCTTACCGGACTCACAGAACAACCGCAAACACAATACCAGCGGCAGCATGGATGATTCTGCACACGCTTTCGGACGAGTCGCTCACGTATCGTATGCGTCATGAACTTTCAATGGCCCATCTAGCTCATCTGGATCTTCCCAGTCTGGGGAGCGCTACGCTCCTCAACTCCGTCTATCGGGAGACACTCAGACTTCACGTTGCTGGCGCTACAGGCCGTACATCTCCTCAGACTGGATTCGGTTCACACCAAGCTGGTACTGTTACAATGACAGCAAGCTGGCTTGGTGGCCTTGATACAACATTTTGGAACGAAGGAGCTGTCGTTGACGGTGTCCCGAAGCATCCTGTTGACACTTTCTGGGCTGAGCGGTTTCTGAATTATCCAGATGACCCCGGAAGCGGACCTCTCCGTAAAGCAGACAATTACCCACTTGCTGATCAATTCCCCATTATCTCGGACACGAAGACGACAACAGATGACTCAACAGCAACACTAAGCACAAGTGGCCTTCGAGGGCATTGGTTTCCTTTCGGAGGCGGCGCGTGGAGATGCCCGGGTGAAGCTTTAGCTAAAAACACCATTTTGGTCTCGGTCTGGTCCTTACTGCGGGACTTTGATGTACATGTTACGGATCGTACAGCCGCGTCAAAAGTAGTATTAGAGCCACGGCATAGGACCCTGCCCTTCGGCACACATGCATTTAGTCGGCTTGTTCCGGTCGACGTTACAAGACGAGCGCCATACATAGAATAGTAATTTATATCGGAGTATTATCGCTCAATTTACAGTCATTATATGGGTTGCAGCCGCCGCCTTTGCGCCTTCAAGTTGAGCCTAGCGTGATTATTGATATAAATCATTGAATGATTGGTTTTATTACCTTCATTTTCAATCGACATACGTTAATATCTTTTCTATTAGCAGTTGATAGCCTCAGCCAGGCGACCAATTTAGTGAAGCTGCTCCCTTTTCTCTTTCTCTTTTCTTAATAACTGACCACCCCCTGCTGGTACGCAGTTTTGGCCTCCAAAGGGTTCCAGAATCAGTTGTGATCATGAGAGCATCATTAGGAGTTCAATGACTGATGCATGGAAGCAGGTGCAATCTCAAGGCTCGAGTGAAAGTCGTGGAGCATCGACATTCACTCAAGCGGGTATCAACCTGGTCGGTTAGCTCAGTTGGTCAGAGCGTGGTACTAATATGTCATCTAACATGTTGAGTAATGCCAAGGTCATGAGTTCAAGCCTCATACTGATCATCGCTGTTATTTTTTGAGGATGTCACAACCTTCTTGGTCCTCACGATGTTGAGCTGCATGACGACATGTTCTGACGTAAATTTCTTAGCCAAGAATCTCCTGATGAGATTAATGCTACTGTTTCGGACTGTTTTGATTGAGCCGATGACGATTGCCGGATGATCATTTTGTTTTCCGGCCCGAGAAAGGGTTATGAGCTGTGTTACGGGACGTGATCTCCGCATCCGGAGTGATATCAAGAATCGCCGGAGAACAAAGAATGTGGTCTAGACCCATTGCGCTCGGCAACATCGAGGGGTAAGAAATGTCTTGGTACACCTTGCTCCACTGGCAGCTGAAGAATACAGTCTAGCCGGTTTAGACTGGATCTCAGTGGGCTTCGGCTTCTCAGCTGAACGCTGCTTGGCCGTTGACCTCATCCTGCCAATGCACCCTGATTTTTGACTGCCGTGGGTTTATGTATGAAAGTCTTACTCCAGCGACTGGCAAACGTTCATCCATGTATGCAAATGAGGTCTCCCCGCTAGAAAAAACTTCCGTACTTCAACTAAAGGTTCTTCCTGGCGATGTATAACGGCCGGTTCGCATTTCAGGGTTACCTTGATCTAAAAGTGTCTCGGCTGGCAACCCCCCACTTCCGGCGTCTGCACCGAAAGTGGAAGACTTTTGCCCGGCAATGTCCCGAAGAGGAAAGCCTAGACTGGACCCCCAATTGGCTGGTTTCTATGCTTCGATTGTAGTATGCGCCGTGACGGAGCCCCCGATTGGACTCGCTGCTGGGAACTGCTTCTTGTGACTCGGCATCCGCTGAGTTGAGACGAGGACCGGCGAGACCACCGACCAGCACAGTCGCTGGCTGCTTACTCTTCCACCCACCGATTCACAAATGAAAAACCGTTGACAAAAGGGTTTAATGAGCACTTGTCCAAACCTGACGCACATCCGTGTCTATTCGCATCGAATAAGATCTACACTTGGGTATTGGATCAGCACTTGATGTCTGAAGCCGGAAGTGAAGAAGAGCCACTGACTGCAACGTCCTACGTCGAACAGTTTGACAACACGCACTCAATCGGCCGGCGCTTTTCCATAGACATGAGCTGACGTGGCGAACGACGCAAGCTTTCTGAAGCCATTGTCCAGGTGAGAGCTTTTGATGTTCGGAGAGGGTCAAAAGAAGTTACACAATGGACAAAAAGGTTTTCTCTAAGGCCGCAGCCGCGTCAGCAGAGGCTGTTTCTAGCGTCTCCGTAGTACGCTTCAACGAGGATTTGGCCTGTTAGCCACTCGGACTATGAGGAGCTACGGATGGTCCCGCGGCTTAGAACTCAACGTGAGGCTTGGATCGGTACAACCTAGCTCGTCCATGTTCCTGGAATAGCAGCTAGATTCTGCCACCACTGGACCCTGAAAGTCGACAGACTTGACATCTCATATCCATGATCATGAAGTTTGTCGGTCAATCTCGCAGCAGCAACTATGAGTTGCAGTTGAAAGGTCCGGATTTTTCTCTTGTGAGCGTCGGAATCGCTACAGGATCATATCGATGACGTGTGTTGCACGAGTTTTTATATGTTCCACAGCTGAGACGCGGAGCACTAGCGTGGACAGCACGTTGCACATGCATTGGTGCTGACTGGTTGGAGACTTGACAAGACAATTTGGGAAAAACTGCTGTGCCGACGGCCAAACTCGAGTAAATGCTATTCCATCATCGTGGGCGGTCGGGATTGCGGTGTTGCCGGGCGCTTAGCTTGGCGCCGCTCCCGAAACGCAACACAATCCGTCTGGGAAACGCTCGTGGGATGGGGTTGGCATGTTCTGCTCCTTCGCAGCTCGGCGTGCATTCCTTCGCGCCATCAGCTGTCAACAATTATTAAAGGTTAGCGTTATCACCAGTCGGCAGAATACACGTCGCTGAAGATCGCCAAGTGCGAATAACGCCGCCAAAGGTTTGACGCGTCGACATCGCACTAAAGCCGGAAAGCTTCCCTGAGCTAGGAAGGACCAGCAGATGCCGATCAAAACGAGAGGCGGATCACGGTGGAGCTGGCGTTGCACAAATTATCATCGCCGACTTCGTACTTGGCAAATAAGGTTATTGATGTTCAAGAGCTTATTGCCAAGAGAGGGGGAAATGACGGGGAAACAGCATTGCATTTCTACGCCCCTTACATGCCAATGAAATCACAGACACCTCTCTTTTGAAACTGCCCGGGCCATATGATGCTGTGCTGACTCTGCCGCCACTGACGGGCGATAAGAACCGCTGGAATGCGCGTGTCTGGGCGATCAGGGGTAATTGAACTCTTCCGACGGAGGCGCGCTGAAGCTGTCTGGGCTTGCAGCATCTTGATCACCAATGGCTGCAAACACTGCGGTTGCGTGGTTTTACTGCGTAGTTCTGGGCCATGCCTGAGGGACAAAATCCCTCAGGTCTTCCAAAAGCGACGAAAGGTATTTCGCATATTCAACAAAGGGCTCGTGGGCTAGATGGGGTGAGGCTGAGGCGGCTTGACTGCCGTCCTGCCGCACCAAAGCGAGACACTCTGTCTTACTGTTTAATTACCTGATGTCGTGGCTTGAGCGTCAAAGAATGGCCAATGGTCTCGAATGAGATGGGGACGAAAACGGCAAAAATACCGGCCTTTCCTGGAGAACTCGAAGGCCACTTGAGAAACATGGAATGATATATATGACAGCTGGAACATCCAGGTTCAATGGATTCTCTTCAGTTCTCCAGCCCACCTTTGCTACTCTCCCTTAACACATCGTGTCCATCTTCCCAGTTATTTTACGGGTATCCTTCAACTTTGCATCTGGCAGGGACCATTTTCTTATTCTTTTATTTCTTTTCGACATTTACCCGACTTTCGAATCCCGGAGATTAGATAATTCTGCCCATCATGCGTTTCTCGACCAGTGCAACTCTCTCAGCGGCTCTGCTTGCTACCAGCGTCACGGCGCAAGCCCCTGTTCTTGTTGATGTCCAGAGTCTGCTCCCGGCAGCCGGCACTCCCGCCATCTTTGACAAGACCACGATCATCCGGTCAACTTCCATCCTCACAACCACGGTCAAATTGACCAGCTCAACGGGATTGGCCAACTCGACCATCAGCAGAACATCCAGCACTAGATCGTCCAGCAGCAGAACTGCTTCCGCTACCTCTATAACCTCGCCTACATCGATTCCGGGCATTACCACCGACCAGCAGAATGCCGTAAACCTTCACAATGAGGCGCGAAAGCTTGTTGGATGTTCACCTTTGACCTGGGACGCCGGTCTTGCCAACGACGCTCAAGTATACGCTAAGACCCTCGCGAGCATCGACAAGCTACAGCACGACGCGAACAGAGGAAATGAAGGCGAGAACCTCTACTACCAGTATGGCAGCGGCAGCCTCCCGTATGCTGCTGCTACCACCTGGTGGCTCAACGAGAAGCAATACTACACCGGGCAGGCTATCCCTCTGGCTAGCTCGAACGGAAAGCAGTTCTCAGACTATGGTCACTACAGTAAGTTACATCGTCCAAGAGCAGCTGTCATCTCAACGAAGAGCAACTTGCTGACAGTTTCCAGCTCAATGTGTCTGGAAGACTACCACCAAGGTTGGAATGGCTACTGCGCAGTCTGCCTCGGGTAAGACCTATGTGGTCGCTCGCTACTCACCAGCTGGCAACATGTAAGTCCCCGCCATTCATTTGCCTTGGGATGTCCCACTAACTTGATGAAGCGTTGGTCAAAAGCCCTACTAGTGCTGAGGGTGAAATTGTGGGAATATGAGCGTCGGTAGAGGGAGTTTGTGGTTGGAGCCTTGTATTGGCCGATTCTCAGTACAAAATTTGGCGGTGTGTCTGGCTAGCAGATTTGTTTTCTAGACATAGATTTCTAGACAAATTTAGATATTAGATTCTACAATGACCCCTAATCATATCGGTGATCCTTCACTCCTTGTCATGATAAGAGGCGCGGCCAATATCACAGGAGAAGAAAATAACAAGCTGGGATCAAGTCAATGCAATGCGGTTCATGTATTTATATTTCGAAAGCAAGTGGAAACCACCTCGTATAGACGCTGTTGACTAGAAAAGTTCCATCTGCTCTGAACCTGGCGGCGACAGCGAAAATCGCATTCCGCTCCATGGTTCTCCCGCAGTCTCCCATCTGAAGATGTGCGTCTGCGCAAAGAGACGATGCGCGATCTGGCCCTTATCGGCACTTGTAGAAATTAGGATCCCTGTAGTAAGATAAGTTCCCTAGCACCCCTAAAGCTGTTAATCCTGAACATAGTTGGGAATTTTTGGCATCCAGTCGTTGTCCTCGTCTGCCTGTTGCTTTTCGATTCGGGAAGTCTCGCTGTTCAACTTGCCTCGCAGGAGCGACAGCCTTGCGTCACGCCTCACTCTTGTAGGTCGCTTTCCGGACTGTTCCTCCCGCCGAGCCCAATATTCGTGAATTAGATGGGCCGGAAGTAGGCTCGCTGGCTCCCATGTGTGCTTCGGATGTCCCACCCACTCGACCAAATATCGATCATCACCAGCTCGCGAAGCCCTGAAGTCCATGATCTCGTGCACCAACCATATCCCATCGTTATTCATGAAGAGGTGCCTACCGCCTTGGGAAGCCCAGTACTCAAAGACAGCAGACTTGGCGTCTTGATGGAGGCACTCCTCAGACTCCCATGTTGTCGAGTTATCTTCCCATTGAACGAGCATCTCAAAGGCGTCGGTGCCATCGAGAGTGTCGACTTTTCGGTGGCTGCGGATGCTTTGGAAGGCGTAGTAGGTTAAATCGTCTGGTGCGGCATCACCGTTGTCAGCATTCACGGAAAGGCGTCGTACGAAGACAAGAAACAAGGCATACCTGCTTGAGAACCATTGGTGTCATCATTGGAAGGCTCTCTCAGCTGGGATTTGGGCGTCGACAAAGACTCTGGTGTGGGAAGCGCCAAATCGCCGTTGCCACGGACCTTTGAGGGGGTATCCCACTTCATTCTCGTTGACTCCAACTCGTGGTCGAGATCCCACGGTGTGCGGCATGGGCCAGGTTGCGGATGCGGGGTCTCGGAAGGGGGATGCGCAGTGGAAGTTGAGATTTACCACGTCGTCGAAGAAATAAAAAGCTCACATAAGGTATGGGATAGTCATGTGGAAATGGAAGGACCCCTGGGGGCAGGATCCAAGGCAGTTGCATCTTGCAGTAGTTCCTGCTGGCACTGAGGAGGAAGGCTCTCGTCTCGTTCCTGCCGGTACAGTGCAGGTCACCTCAGAGGCTGTCATGTCGTGGGAAGAAAGCACCTAAGTCGTTACCTTCCTTAACTTACCTACCTTAGGTAAACTGCAGAAGGAATGTCCGTCTTTGGGCAGGACCAGTCTGGACTTCCCGAGATCTCTTTCCTAGAGGCCCTCCATTGCCCGGTCTTCCCTTCTGAAGCTGCCATCTTGGTCCAATTCATCATGGTATTGATACGAAAAGAATAGCTAGAATTTTTCTCGAGAAGACTAGGAGAAGGGAACACATGCTGGTCATGTTCACACTGCACTCTCTTGGAAAGTGCAATCCCGTCCGATGATTCCGGGTATCGGCGCCGATGGATCCACAGCGGCCTGGCATTGCAAGTCGCCTGAAAGGGACTAGCGCCGTCAGCCCTGGGCGTCTTGTGCTTTGCCGATGTTCCTCCGTGGGATTCTCGGGTTTTCCTGTGTCCGGTGAGTGTTCCAGGCGTCCACCTCTGTCTGCACCCTCTCCCTCTCGCTGCCGCCCTGCCGATCTTGTATCTTTCGACCCCTCGGTCCTCGCACCTTTTTTCGGCGCCGGCCTCTTTGCAGCCAACCAATGCAAAAACAATCAACATGTCCGATGTACCCCGACCTCCGCTCCTCTTCGAAACGGCTTGACCGTCGTGCGCTCGTCGAATGCACCCCGAATCCCCACTGAAACGACCAGCCCACGACCGGAGTCTTGATTGTTGATATGCACTTCGAGCGGCTTTTTTGGAACACCGAGCGCGAATCGACTTCCGACGAAATGACAGATAAGCAATTGAAGCCGAAGTCCTGCGTCGCGTTGGAGCCACGTGCGATTTCGCTGGCTTGGGAACCGACTTGTCCGAGTCGCTTGAACTATTGCGTGGATAGCATCTTGTTTGCAGCCGACGCTTCCCTACAGGCCAGCCTCGCATATTCGTCGTGTCCACTTGTGACCTTCAGCCAAGGTAGTCGGGTGGCCTCTCAGCCTACGCCAGTGCTGTTGTAGCCGCAAGAGATCTGGTAGAAGATCTCGGCTCTATGCTTGAAACGAATGCTGGGGCGAAACCGATGCACAGTATGACTGGGAAGACTTGCGAGGGGAGATTCTTCATGTGCATCCTCGTGAAAACCTTCACCTACACATACTCATACAGAACAATCCTTGTGATTTAAACCCCGAACCTGAACTCCCGGTACTTCTTCTGATAGTAGAAAGTCGCCGCCGCACCGGCAAATGTGAGGGCCAGTGGTATGGGTGCTTTCCCTCCAGTCTTGATGGCCCTGGAGGCGCCGGCGCCAAGCAGGACGATGCTGTTTCCGAGAGCGAGTTCCGCGCCGTAGTCCTTGTTCTCCTTGAGGAGGTAGCCTGACCGACCATTATTTCTTGCTCACCAGCTGTGACGGGGAACACTCCGCGACTTACCAGAGTACGCGTAGGCGGCTCCAAGTCCAAGACCCGCGATGAGCGACGGCTTGGACTGCGTCTTCAGGAAGCCGGCAGTGCCGCCGACGGCCACTGAAAACCATGTTAGGCATATGCACTATTGTCAATCGGGGAGATCATTACTCACAGAGGCCGGCAAGAGTAAAAGACGGGTGGTGAGCCATTGCGATAATTCGATTGATAGACTTGATGGGATGAACGTGAGAGGCGGCATCAAAGGCAAAAGCCGTTCATCCCGGCGGGAGCCGCTGGGGATTAGTAATGGTCACGGCGGTAAAGCTTCGGCGATTTCGTCAATTTCTGAGGTCGAGGTGGCTTCCTGACGTGATGGACCTCCAGGAGAATAACTCAACGAGCCATTCTATGCATGTCTTTTCAGCGCCCTGGAGATCCCAAGTAATATCCCCGAAAGATTTATGATGGTGCATGAATGAAATTGTCACCGGTTTTCCTGGCTCTATACCTACCTCACTCCACGCCCATGATTCCTGCCTCGACACAACTATGACCTTCCTAGAAGCCCACGCCTCAGGCTCGCAAGTTGCGTCACGTTCGTCCTTCGCGCCTCAGAAGCCCATATTCGTGATCGGGTAAGAAAGCCTAATTGTCTTTGAAATACCCGTTTCGCTTCGCGTCACCTACCTGATGTTCACCCAGCGTGCTGCTACTATTGCGTTCAGGAGGAGTTCGTGGCCAGCCGACCGCCCACGCTGCGGGTCTTGGGTTGGGCTACCATCCGCTCCGGTATCCACATCCGATATGGTGTAGTGGCCAACATGATGCCCTCTCAACTCCGATGAGAGGTTAGGCATAGCCCCGAGTTCGATTCTCGGTTTCGGAATGTTTTTGTCTTTCGCAATCATCCACTTTCTGCCTTCAATGTTTGTCTTCTTTTATTCTTCTTTGTTCGAATTTCACACGACGCGTCTCCCACAATTCCAAAACGTTTGCTTCCCTGGTAGTAAATGCATTTGGACAGATGCGCTTTCGGCCTGTACTTTGCGTGCTGTTATGACCACTGAAGGCTGCTGACAATCCAAGCCATTGGCAGGCAGCCACGGTGTGACTAGGCAGCCGTCTGAATTGGCCTCTGTGAGAACCGAATATTGGTAGCTAACATTGATGAGAAGTAGCCAGTCAAGGAGCTACTGTCACTGAATGGACCTTCTCTTCAACTCTTCTCAATTCACGATGACGACTACAAAGATCTCCCACGTCCCTCAGATCCAGCTTCTCTGCATGGAAAAGCAGTTCGCCGTCGCGTTCGCCAAAGCACGCAAGATTTGGGAGCTGCATGAGTCGGTTTCCGTCCAAGTTCACGAGTGCCCTCTCATTTATCTATCAGAAGATGTTCAATTCGACACCATCGTATCCCCTGCCAATTCGTACGGCCGCCTCGACGGCGCATTCGACGATGCCATCTCTCGCGCCCTGTCGCCCCGCGACGACTACCTCGCCCTGACGCACGTCGCCCAGCGACAGCTTTATGAACAATGGCGCGGCTTCGCGCCCCCCGGCACATGCACGCTGGTCCGCATCCCCGACGAGTTCCGCGCCCGCTCTCGCAACGTCTGGGGCACTCGTCGCGTCGCGCTCTGCCCCACGATGCGAACGCCCACGAACGTCACCTGGGACCGGGAAATCGTGTACGAATGTGTGTGGAGCTTGCTTTGCGCCATTGACAGCCATAACCGCGACGTCCGCGCAGGCAAGGCCGCCGAGGGCGAGGAGATTCGCAGCGTGCTCATGACTCCGCTGGCGACGGGTGTAGGACGTGTGAGCCCCGAGAAGTGGGCTTCGCAGGCCGTCTTGGCAATCAATCACTTCGTCCAGGCCTCTGAGAACCCCGAGAAATGGAGCAAACTTGACTGGGCTGATTTTGACGGGCCTTGTGAAGAGGTGGCGGCTACTTGGCGAGAAACACACACTTGATGGGGCGCATGGTGTCGTGCGGACCCCGCGATGGTGCACACACCTCGATCTTCGGCCCTGCGGCAAGACGCGAGACATGCAGGTGATCAGAGGATTTCAATCTCTAGACTAATTCTTTTCAATCTTTCACTCGTGCATATGTATGTATTAATCAGCGCGACCTGTCTAATCACATGTGGCACTTGAGCACTTGGGGATCCATCGAACCAAACTGGTGAGACACGAGTTGCAACCTCTCCTTCGTCAGAACGGGTCTCTGCTGCCGGAAATGCACCTGCGTACTATCGCTTATGCGAGAAAGTAACCTTGCACGTCTTGCCCCGCGGCTCAATCAGGACCAAGTTATCCATCTCCATGCTCTCGGGCGTTGTCGCCGGCGAAAGCCTGGCGCCTTGGAACTTGCGGAAGAACATGGTGATTCCATAGCGAAGCTCCATTTCTGCCAAGTGCCTACCAATGCACACTCGAGACCCTGCCCCGAACGGCGTGAACGCGGCCTTGGCGGTCTCCGAGTTGGTGCTCTCCCCGTCAGGCATCCATCGAGAGTAATCAAAGCTGGAATCGTGTTAATGCTTGAAATCATGCCGGCAGAGACCAACTCCTACCTTTCTGGATCGCTGAAGTTCTCCGGGTCTCGATGCAAAGTCCACGATTGGGTTGCAACATCGGTTCCAGCGGGGAGATGGTAGCCGCCAAGCTGGATGCCTCCCGTAGGAACGACACGCGGAAGTGGAGTAGGCGCGGCACCATAGAGTCGCAAAGTCTCTTCTATCACAGCGTGAAGTACGGGAAGCCTCTCCAATTCCGCATCGGTGAAATCGTCACTAAGCCCAAGAACTTCATTCTCCAAAGAAGTCTGCACCTCCGGGCGCAACAAGACAGCCCAAATACCGTACGTCAAGGTGTTAGAAGTGGTATCGGTACCGGCGATCATGAAGGCTGCAGCTTCGACGCAGATGTCCATATCTGTGAGAGAACCTTCGTCCTTCTCTGCTTGGAAGAGAACTTTGGAGAAGAGATTCGAGGCCTGCGACGCCGCTGCTTGCTTGCTGTTCTTGACGGCAATACGGCCCTTGTCGAGCAGTACCTTGTAGGAGCTGAACATTCTCAGACTTCCAATGAAAGGAAGACGCTTGGTGACCGCATAAAGCCATGGAAAAGACAATGCGGTGAAGGCCGCGGTGTTGGCGAAGTTGACCTCCTCGAACCATGGGTCTTCCTACACAAAATCGTCAGACTGAAGCCCGGTTGAGAGGATCGGCGATGTCCTACCTTTCCGGCCTTCAAAGCGTCAAAAGACTCTCCAAACATGAGCTTCGAGACAACATCGCATGCCATGAGAATCCACCACTTGCGCATATCTACTTCACCGTTGCCAATCTTTGCGTCGATGGTCATGCCCTCGAGGGCCATTGTGACCTTCTCACGCACCATGTCTTCCCAATCTGCACGCAGCGAGGAGGATGTGAAACCCCTACCCAGGAGCTTGCGTCTCTGAGAGTGGGCATGCTGGTCGGTCATTTGGAACAAGCCGTACGGAGGGCTGCCAGCCTCGGTTGGCCCGAAGTAGTGGTAGTATTCGGCTTTCGTAAACTGGCTTCCGACCTTGTGGATGGTCTTGAAGGCCTTCACGTCTGATACAAAGACCTGGCCTGGTGATGCACGTACAAAGGGGCCATATTGTTGGTGCAGGCGGTGGTAATACTGAACTTGCTGCCGCTTGAGGGTCGCGATAGTGCCAGGCAAGCCGGTGAATTTCGCGTACCAAGGACCGGGGATTGCGTTAAGGGGGTTGGTGAAAATCTGAGGAAGGTCAGAAGAAAGATATCAAGTTTGGGATTCTCCAAGGCAAACCTGGTAGAGTTTGATCAGTATATAGACTGCCGATGTGGCGGCAAGCAGGGGAACGAAAGTCAAAGTCATTTCCGTGGCATATGACAGGGGACTATTGTAGAAAGTTTAGTTACAGAGTTTGGTAGCTTTCGCAATGACCCAATGAGGTCTTGAGACGAACGACTCTATATAAACGACTATTTTTCAGTCCATATCGTCTCCTGCTGACAATGATGCGCTTGCACGATGTCGACGTCAGCACTTGTCGGCGCTCGGTAGCATGGGCGGACTCCACATGACGCCGGACTTTGAGAACCGTAAGAAGACCGACATTGCACCGATCGAGTAGATCACCCACAACGTCCACATTGGTAATGCTGCCAGACGGCCTGGAGGTACTGCGGCATCCGTAAATTTTCCTTCGTTCAGATTGCCAAGATGTACCGCGCGCTTTCGTGCTTATGTTCTTTGACCGAGGTCGCGAAAAAGAAGAAGGCACACCGCTCGCTGGGTGCCGTGACCCGAGCACGAGAAGTCCCATGCATCTGTTTTTGGAACAACTCTCAGAGAAAATATCGAACGACGGGATTGGAGGTCTTTCGTCATACCCAATGCTCCATAGAAGTCGAGCTGGAGTGAAGCGCGGGTCATTCGACTGCGAAGAGGGTACTGTCATGTGCTGGGCCTTTCCGTAGAGCCTCCAACTCGGCGACTACTACATCTGCAGGTGACATCGAGCGATGTCGGAAAGACGGTAATGGTTAAAGGGGCCTGTCGTCAGCCGCCATTGGGCGATTGGTCGCTCGTGCATGTCTTCTCTAGAAACTTAGAAAGTGAGCGTGTCTCATCGCTACCCGTCGAGCTGCGTGAGGCGAGGTCTCCTCAATCTTGTTGCAAGAAAATTTGAATTCCTTCCTTAGGGAAACCATCTGTCCATGTAGATGCCTTTAGGTATGTGAAGTCGGATGTCGTCTTAGGCCCGAACCGCCCTTGGTAGTTGGGTAGAGCCGAAGTACACCTTGCCTTCTACAACAACTGGCCCAGGTCCAAGGATCCTTTTTATCTGCAACTCCGACCCCTCACCTTGCTGGGGCGTCGTCGCATGTCAGCCATCTCTCCAACTTAAACATCACGACACTTGGTCTTGATAATGCTTCCCGGCAACAAAGTTTTAACGACACACAAAGTGGAGGCCGTTAGACGATGTTGCCGATCCGAGCGTGTCCAAAATGGAAACGATCAAGGAGTCAACCGGTGAGACTATCAAGGCAGACCGACGAACAGACAGACAGAAAAACCAAAGAGAAGCACGTTGAACACTCTCACTATCATGGGGATTACTTCGGATCTTGAAGGCGGTATCGCCGCTGTATTCTTGAGGGCTTCTTGACGCGTTCCTCCAAAAGCCAACTTTGACAGACGTGTTTTGCTTCAACCTCTTGTACGCGCAGGCAATATTCCCAGCAAAGGCTGCGTCCTGCAACCCGGACATGGTCGAGTGGCCAATACCAAAATGACGACACCACTCGTGAAATATCTACCTAGACATGTGCCAAATGTCTGCTCGCTGCTTGAACTTTGTCAACGAAAGCCGAACGATAGGTTTGGAACTCGTTTTCGGCGTCTTGCACAGCCTCATCGACGTTACTTTTCGCCTCTGCCAATAGCCTGAGGTCAGACTCAATAGCATCGAAACCTCTCTCACAGTTCCGGCCCTCTCTGATGCTTGACCAGGCCTTATCCATTTCAGCCCTAAGGTCCATCATCCGCGTCTCGACGAGGATCTTGGTCCCCTCAAGTAGTCCGATACGTCGACCGCAAACCAATCCGAAGTCAAGAAGAGTATCAGCGAAAACAGAGACGGGACCCTTAACCGCATCGTTGGAGCTATTCTCCAGCATAGGATCACCGCCACTTGGGTCTTCCAAAAGCGATCCTGGCGTAGCGTTGAGGCCGAGGCGGTCGAAAATACTTCTGCCAGGAGAAACTTCCCGCGAAGTCCTCGAATCTGCTATGTTGCGTGTAGGGGTGGGAGTGAGATGTACGGAACTCTCGGTGCCTCCAGTCGAGTCGTCGAATTCCACGGAAATGGTGGTTGCCGGGTTGGCGCTTGCGCTTTCCTCTTCGTTGGGCCGATCGCGGTGGGCAGGGCCTGCGACGTCTGCGGCGTCGGTCAGTAGTGGATCATCGACAGTGATTGCTGCAAGATGAAAGTGGTGATGAGTACCCCGCGACTCGATATCTTGGTCAGAAGCAGGCTGTGCTTGTAGGCCAGCCGCCGACGAGGTGTCGATCATCCCGGTCGCATGGGCAGGAGGTGCCTCGGTCATGGCCTACTGGCAGTATTAGCCGAAAATACCCAACGAGGAGATTTTTGGCGACGGATTCTCGCATACCTTGCGCGGGTACGAAGCGAAGGTCTCGCGAGGGCTCATGGCGGTCGTCGTTCGAGAGATGTGAGTTGTCCAATGACGGAGCGAATGGATGGGTGGGTGGTGAAGGAGGAGGCTTTGAGTAAGGCGGTGAAAAGAGACACTTGGGACTGCCTAGCTAGATGAAGTAGGCAGGAAGGTACCTCCTTTCCATTATTATCGGACAAATGGTGGCAGGCGGCTTGGTTGGATTAAATGCAAGGTGCAAGGAAAGTGCAGCCAAAGCCCATCGGCTACTTCCTCGCCAGGACACGCTCACTGAGGCAGTGATCGTCAATGAGGCTCTGCACGACATCAAAACGATATGCTAGTCGAAAAGAAGTTGATTATGTATCACTAAAAGTAGTACTAGCCTATCACAAAGGCACATGTTTGATCGCGGGACTTGCTCGGCGAGCCATCATCGCCCTTCGCGACCATTTATCTGGTAGCAATGTCCCGTTGCCCACCACAATCAATCATGAAGAATATCAGCATCTATCAATGCGGCCTGGCGCAGTCTCTTTCGGCCTCTTGGGCTACGTTGATGCGCTTCCAGCTGTCCATCGGCCGGCCATTGGTGTGCGGCGAGATTCAAATCCTCCTGGCTGCTGGGCAGACCCTGTGTTCTCGGGAGGGCACTGGCGTTGTCGTCCCATCTGCCTGCCTGCTGCACAGGTCATGTGTGTGACTGAGAAGTAGTGCTCGCACCGTTTTTCGTGGTAGCCAATACTGACTGGTGGCCTCACCATCTGCGGCGCCCTCGTTCCATCACAGCACACCGGCTTCGCGAGCGGAATGCTCCGGACCGGCGGCCTTGTGGTGTCCATGTTAGAGACTCTGCTGTCTCCTTGACGACCGCTCATCGCTTCAAGACATAGGTCCAAGGTAGGTTGCGCCATAGAGATCGGGTCTGCTACGCGCCAGATTGCGATGCAGCGCAGAGAGGAGGGGCCAGAGAGGAGCAAGCCCGACTCTTGGTGGGCTCGGTGTGCTTGGTGCCGAAGGAACCGTGATGAACTGCATGGACGGCAGGATGAATTGAGATTGAGCCTGAGCCTGAAGGACGGGAGTCATCATCGGGACTTGGTATTGCATCTGTTGCTGCCACAATTGCTGCTGCTGAAGTTGTTGAATCTGCTGGAGCTGCTGCAGCTTTTGGAGCTGTTGGATTTGAATGGGAGTAAGCATGACTCCAGACGCCATCGCCGCGGGCGCGACCTTCAAGGATGCTTCGGCAGGCGCAGGCATTGCGCTGAGCGGCTCCGGGCTACTGCCTTGGCCGAGGTAAACATCGTCGTCGTGAGCCCAGTCCTCACCCCATGCCATCTCTGCCTCCGCCGGAGAGCTTGGAAGCTCGCTTGCGCACCATGTCTCCTTGTCGGCAAGCGACGCAACTGATGAGAAAGGAGAGTTGACTCCAGAAGTCGAGCGGAACGCCGAAGTCGGGCTCCAGATGTCACGGCCGGAGCTTGGAGTTGATGACGTGGTTTGCGGAGATGAAGGGAGTTGGGTGAAGTAATCGTCGTCGTCGGCGTCGACGACTGGTGAATACGGAGATGACGGGGCTTCAAACACGGCCTTGAAGAGCGACTCGCCGATGAGTGCGGAAGCTACTCTGCCGGCCTCGGAAGATGGAGAGAGAGGCCCATCGAGTTCGGAGTCTAGGTCCAGATCGAGGTCAAGGCCGAGCAAGTCAGGGTCGGAATCGGAGGCGGCACCGGATGTGGAGATGAAAGGGGAGGCGAGCTGGGGGATCGACACAGGAGGGCTGAAGGCCGGCGCTGTGGGGTTCAGTGTGGGCAACATTGCACCTTGGTTTGTTTGGCTGGCAGCGAAGAGAAGGGAAATTGTCAGAGTAACGACTGGCGTGGAATGAGAAACGTGTTCTAGAGACTAGGAGACAAAAACGAAGGGGAGTCTGGGCTAGATAAGTGAGGATTCGTGGAGGACAGCCGCAGCGGGGACGGTTGGGAACATTAATGCAACTTTGGACGAGCTGGTGGCCCCTTTATGCCATGTTCGTCCGGCATGGCGACAGGATGAGGGCAAGGTAGGGCGAGACGAGTGTTTTCGCACGGGTAAATGTCAAGATAACAACCTCAGGTAGGGCAGTCCTGTTGGTCGGTCGCGCTGGACTCATGCATGATCCCTGGAGGGTGCATAAGGTTATTTTCTCATCATTCGCAGCCACTGGAAATTGGGATGGTCATTGATTGGATCCAGGAGGTGGTGGGCGAAGGCTTTAGCCGCCCGCGTAGCCAATAAATGACGGGCCTGATCACCCTACGGACCAACCTTGAAATCCTCTGCATTCTCGCCGTCTCGATTCGGTGGAATCGGTAGAAAAGTCCCCCTTTTGGGTTTGCGCGAGACGATGGGGATGGATTGACCTTGTAAGAGAAAAATCGCCGAGTTGTGATTCTGCCCAGCCCACGGACTCATAAACCCTGTCGCGTCGGATTCTGGGGAGGTGTTGTCTGCTCACCACTCGCCGGCCAGCGCCGGCGCGATTTGTTGGCGGGGTCATTGCGATGCGGCCGGCCCAAGACGGTCTCTGTTTGTCCCTCTTCGTGTCTGCACGGCCACTGAGGTCTGGATGCCAGTTGTCTTGCGTCTTGTCTTGCAGATGGCTGGGCCATTGCATTGGGGGCATTGGGGGCAGGGGCGGCAGTCTCTGGTCAGTGGTCGCACGTCCAGACGCGCCCCCATTCCTCGTGGGATCATGTTTGCATTGCAGCGCGCAACGCCTACAGGCTAGAGGGAATTGATAGGTATCCGTAGGCAGGCTGGTCCTGGTCCTGGGGGCGGCGGCAGCGGCGACGGCGGCAGCGGCTGTCGACTGTTCAAAAGAGTTCAGACGATGGGCCGTGTTGGTCTCATCTATTCTCATAAGGTTGGTCTCATCTATTTTTCCCCCATATTGTTCTTCGGGTCGGCCGTATTAAGCAATGATGGGCGCCGGGTTCTGGACTTGGGACGAAGCCCTGCGGTTTCGCGTTCGTGATGCACGGGGGTGATGCCAGCTGATTCGGGCTGATTCAAGTGAGGCATCCTCGGATTTGGCAGAGTGCCCCTGACGCTATTCCCAACACGGCCGCCTGAGGAAAATCTGCGGCATGGGCTGCCCGGTCGAATGTCGGAAGGACCGGACGGTGGGTCTCGATGCTCCATCACGTGAGCGGACATTATCTAAGCCGTCCGTCTTCTTTTGTGGTTTCCGATTCCTTCCTAACTACTCTATATCAATATTCCATTCGTATGCAGTGTACGCATACACGTCCGTCTTCCTGCTGACATAACCACGAAATCCTTTGGCGGACCCTTTGCTCCGTCAAGTCGCTGCGTCAGCCAAAATTCTCGCCAAGCTCTCAACAGTGAATGAATCATCAGCTCGAGGCAAAGAGCAACGCTTCAATTCATACTTCGTCTCTTTTCTCCCTACAGATGCGATCTATGGGCTACCCGCACATTGCCCGTCACCAGAGTTTTCGTCGTCAAGTAGTCCTCAATGCCGTATTTGCTCCCTTCTCGCCCAATCCCAGAGTGTTTAATACCCCCGAACCTAATCCCGAGTCAGCCAAAAGTCAAAATAAAAATCGGCATCGGGGACGCCTACGGAGCGGCTGCATCGGAAATGACCCCGGTGTTTAAGGCCACCATTCCAAACTGCAGCAGTTCGGACACCCGCGTCGCACGGTTGAGGTCGTTGGTGAAGATGTAAGATGCGAGGCCCACGTCACACCGGTTGGCGGCATCAACCACCTCTTCCTCCGTCTCAAATGACAAGATGGGAGCCACTGGGCCGAAGATTTCCTCCTCCAAAATCCTCATGCTCGGTTTAAGATTCGTGATGACGGTGGGCTCGAAGAAATTTGGTCCTGGTGAGCGAAAGTGAGTATCCATTCTTGGTATTGGGATCGCTGTCCGGACACCTACCAAGATCCGGCCGTGCTTTCCCTCCGATTTCGACACAGCCGCCTCCCTGAACAGCGTCGTGAACGAGACCCGCAACCCTCTGAGCAGCTTCGGCGCTGACGAGAGGTCCATGAGTGACTTCCTCGTCGAAGCCGTGTCCAACCTTGAACTTGCTCATTTCCTCCTTCAACTTGGAAACAAACGCCTTGTGTATACCCTCTTGCACAAATACTCGATTCGCGCAGACGCATGTTTGTCCCGACGACTTAAACTTGCTTGCAATCACACCAGCTACTGCGAGATCCAGGTCCGCATCCTCAAACACCAGAAAAGGGGCATTGCCACCTAGCTCCAGGCTCATCTTCTTCAACGTCTGACTAGACTGTTGCATGAGAAGCTTTCCGACACGTGTTGATCCTGTGAAGGAGATTTTACGGACCATCTCAGATTGGCACAATGTCGCCCCAATCTCTGGAGTGTTTTCGAGGACCGAGATGATGTTGACTACGCCCTTTGGCACACCCGCCCGTTGACCAAGCTGCATGACAGCATTGGCAGTGAATGGTGTCTCGCCAGCGGTCTTCACCACTACAGTGCAGCCGGCAGCCAGTGCTGGCGCTAGCTTCCTTGTGATCATCGCGGCAGGAAAGTTCCAGCTATTCCATCAGTCGATCAGCACAATCCCCTCAACTTGTCGTGCTAACGGAAGACCATACTTACGGAGTGATGAGACCACAAACACCGACCGGCTCTTTCAACACAGACACTCTCATGTTTGGGTTACTGTGGGGTATCACGTCTCCATAGATTCGTGCTGCTTCTTCGGCAAACCATTCCAGAAAGCTGGCAGCAAAGACCACCTCGCCAGCCGCATCTGCCTTTGCTTTGCCGTTTTCCCAAGTAATCAAGGTGGCTAAGTCGGCCTTGTTCTCCATGATCAGGTCATACCATCGACGAAGTATGCGCGCTCGATCTCGACCGGATCGAGATCTCCAAGCCGGCAGCGCCGTAGCTGCCGAGAGAATGGCGCGCTCCGCATCTTCAGACACAGACTCAGGGCACGAGCCGATCAGCTCGCCCGTAGCGGGATCTGATCCAAGATCAGCTGCCGAAGAACACTGCGAATGGGGGGCAAGGCAAGACTCTCTGGTAGTCCGTAGGAGCAGCAGGGGAAAACGCATATATGAACTCACCTGTGACATTGAATGTTTTGTCAGAGACGGAATTCACCCAATGGCCATTGATGAAGTTTTTTCCAATCAGCAACGACTCGTCTTGGAGCTGGGGTTTGAAAGGCATAGTGTTTTGTCAACTCTGCGTGGGAATCAAGCGTTACTTTCCTCCGTCAAAGCGAAGGGCTTGCGCAAAGCGGTCATCGCAGGCCGGGTCTTATGAACGGATCCCATCCGGAGCGATACTACGAACGCGCCTGGACACGTATGATGGCACCGAGATCGGCTGATTCGCTTATCGCCGGTACCGTCCATATCGGGGACAAACCGGAGGACATCTCATGCTGCAGGCCCCACCCCGCCGGGAGCGCCGTGCAGATGCGCCGCCCCACTTCCCCGGCGCCAGAAGTGACATCCCAGAACCGGCGTCAGCCAGTGAGATTTCAGTCATTGGCTCTGCCAAATGCGGGGATGGCTGGTTTGAAGTCTTGAGCGGAACGGTGAAGACATGATCTCACTCGCTGAAGTGGGGTAAGAAGATAAGGTTGCCCGGCGGGAAGCCCAGCGACAAGGAGCCGAGACCGAAGCTATGAGCCAACATCTCAACAGCATTACACGACTGATGATAGCATGAAAAGTACAAAAGTCGGGGCCGAACGCCTTCTGACATCGAACTTAAGGTTGTAAACCTGAGCGTCTTCATTACTCACTCGAAACTTGTGGTGATAACACATCCTGCGGTCCTTCATCCAACTCATCATGGCTCCGTCTATTCGCACGCTCGATCTCAACAACACATCGTCGGCATACTTTGCGCCAGCGACTGTGACTTCATCATCGAAACTTGTTCACGTGGCCGGCCAGCCCGGCTCGACGGTAGACGGGCAAGTCCCCGACGACTACGAGTCCCAGATCCACCTCGCTCTCCTCAACTTGCGCAAGATCATTCTCGTTGCCGGTGCATCTATCAAAGACATTGCAAAGCTCACACTGTACATCGTCGACTATGATAGCGCCAAACGGAAACACGTTCGCCACATCCAACGTTTCCTCGCCGGCCATCGGCCAGCAATGACTCTCGTGCCGGTGCCTAAGCTGGCAATGCCGACATCGAAGTTCGAGATTGACGCCGTAATCGCAGTTCCCGAACCCTCAGTGCCTTTGGACAGAGCGACTCTGCCGGAATCATCGGAGTCAGTCGACGTCGTTATCATCGGTGCCGGGCTCGCTGGGTTAAGCGCTGCGCGCGACATCACACGCGCCGGCCTCTCTTGCATCGTCCTTGAAGCAAGAGACCGCGTTGGCGGAAAGACTTGGAGTCAGCCTCTAAAGCAAAGCCAGCCCGGAGTAGTTGACCTTGGTGCTGCATGGATCAACGACACCAACCAACATAGGATGTATGCGTTGGCAAAGCAATATGGGGCCGAGTTGATTGAACAGAACACAAACGGCAACGTGGTCATGCAGGACTTTGACGGAGTTTGCTCGCCGTTCCCGTATGGGGAGCTTCCCATGGTAAGACCTCTGCTCGTTTGAATGCCAATTATATCTTCGTGGCACGATACTGATCGCCAGCAGTTTGATGAGATTACTCGTCAACACCTCGGCGCTGTTCGCGACATGGTCGAAGCCGACTGTCAAGCCGTAGACACTTGGAAGCCAACGAACACGAGCTTGGATAGTGTCACCTTTGACGCATACTTGCGCTCTCGGGGCGCCAGCGAGACTGCAATTGCAACGGCCAATGTATGGACCCGCGCAATGCTTGGTCAGGAGGCGGCCGATATATCGGCTCTTTTCTTCCTCAACTACTGCAAATCTGGTGGTGGACTTTTGCAGATGCGCTCCGATCGCAAGGGTGGTGGCCAGCATCTCCGCGTACGCCAAGGCACGCAGCATTTTGCCAAGGGCCTGGCCTCCTCTCTCCCTGTCGGAGTAGTGCGCCTCAATCAACCCGTCCGTGCCGTGATCTCTGATGGTCACCAAGGAGTGAAGGTTCAGACAGAGAAAGGGGTATTGGCAGCACGCAAAGTGATCACAACTATTCCAGGCCCAGCTCTCAAGAGCATCTCATTCGAGCCACCCTTGCCGCTTTCCAAGCAGGCTTGGATCGATTCTCTGACTTATGGCTACTATACGAAAGCAATGATGGAGTTCAAAGTGCCGTTCTGGGTTGAAAAGGGGTTTTGTGGTCTCGCACAATCATTCGTGGGGCCTGCAAGCGTCATTCGCGATACCAGCATTCCAATCGACGACAAGCACGTGCTTACATGTTTCCTTGCCGGTGATGCTGGCAGAGCTTGGTCTGCACTTGAACAAAGTGACAGGGAGAAGAGGTTGCTGAATCAGTTAGAGCAGCTCTTTGGTCACGAAGGTATTCATGACCAGTTTGTTGGCATGTCCGCTTATGAGTGGGTCAACGACGAGTGGTCCGGATGGGGCTGCCCGTGTACGTCTCTTGCGCCTGGCGTTCTTGACGCACTCGGTGGCGATTCTTTCAGAAAGCCAAGTGGAAACCTGCATTTTGCCGGTACCGAGACTGCGGGAGAATGGAAGGGGTATATGGAGGGTGCGGTTAGGAGCGGTGAGCGAGCAGCTTCTGAGGTTTTGGAGTCACTTTCAAGTGCTGCTAGTGCGTCACGCCTGTGATCATTTTACCACATACATGTGTAATTATGCACCTCGATATTTCGTCCAGTCATTACGAAATCTTGCAGGAGTTTTCAGTCATATCATATCAAATACATGGAGCTAAACGTACGGAAACAAAGAATTGCTCGCTTGATGCAGTGAATTGCGCAAACTTACATTCCAAATCATCCCGTGGTTTTAAAAAAGGGCAAGTTTCCAGCCTCGTGTCCTTGCGACATCCATCCAGTCCGTCTTAAATCTTCCAGACCCTGCTCCGGTGCACTTCCAAACCTCCTCTAGAACTGAAACACACGCGTCCACGTTGCGAAACCGCCGACGATGGTTAAGCGAAGCAAATCCTTCTCGAACTGTGGCAATTTCCGCTTGTGAAGTTGCTTCACCACCGGCCATAAATAAAGGAAATATCATGGAGGTCTCTGCATAGCAACCCTTGGGTATTTCCCTGGAGATTTTGCAAATGGCGGTCACAAATTCTGATAACTTTGACTCAAACGACTCCGAGTGGGAGGTAATGTGCTTTCGAAGAACACGATACAAGTAAATGAGAGCAGCATGTCGATAGGCATCAGCTAAGATGATTAAGGATGCGTCCTGTGACTGAGACGGGCACTTCCAGTCCTGAAGCTTCGTCTCTAAGCGCCTTGCTTTACAGCATAGGTCTGCCATTATAGCTATTGCATCGGAAACCCCCGATAGTGTTTTGCCTGACAGTGTGGCTTCCTGTGAGGCCATCGAGAAATCCTGGTTCAAGTGACTGATTTCTCCGATTAGATGGATGATTTCTGCGGCATGTCCAAAATACGGATCCGCCACATCATAGTCTTCTGATGAGAGCCAATAATCTCCGGCAAGATGGGGCTTGCAATTGAGTGATACACTCATGATGATGTCGTGATACGCAAAGTTTCGGAGAAGCCATCGACCCTCATAGGTTTGGGACAATGCTTTAATATCATCCCCGATTAAGGCTGGACCATCGATTAACGAAGCGGTATCCATATTGTTGCATTCATTGAGGCATGCAGCGGCGCCAGAGAGATGATGTATCCAGTCATCTATGCCAGAAGAGATAGACTCCATGGAACATAGGACCAATGTCGTAGCCAGCCTCATTTCGCGCGTGAGTGAGCCTTTCGTCATAGAGCTTCTAAGTTCAGCCATCGCATTTCCGCGATGCTGCAAGGCCCTAACTTGGAAAATGTCATCTTGGAGTGCCAAGTGAGCTGATGAACTAGCAGCCAAGGCGTACATCAACGAGGGGCATTCAAAGGCCATTGGTAGCAAGACTGTCCAACATTAATATCGAACTCATAATATGCACCTTGGAACATACCGGACAAAAAGCAGTTGTTATGCAAATTGTTCGTCAACATGAAAACCAACGATGTTGTGTAATACCGGAGCATCATTCGTCGGCTGCTAATTAAATCATCCTCTCCTGCCCCGCCACAGGGGCTTGGACCATATATAGGCAACGCATAAACTCCCAGTCGGTTGAAATCAACAAGATGTGGGCCACTGCTCAAGCTGGAGTTGGCACTGCTGACAGACGATGTCGATTTGAAGGATCCGGTGCCAACAGTCACCTCGCGAGGCCCCTCCCATCGACAAACCAGGTTTAAACGAAGGCAATGACTGCAGACTGGGTACTGCTCGTGGCATTTCTTCTTTCTTGAGAATTTCAGCACCGCACCCAGACGACGACCAGATATGCTTAGACTTACTTACCTTCGACGACAAGTTAAACAGCCCCTGCGCTGTCTTGTGATAAGACGTCCGCCGCTAAGACGGCCGGTTGCCACCGCGACATCGTTTGTGACGGTCTTGTCCGACATCGCGCAAGGTTTTCCCGCGTGGTGGCCTCAATATTGTGACGGAAGCCAGAAAGATGCGGATGATGCCAAAGACAGAAGGGGACAACTATTATATGGGTCTGAGGGGTCTTGATGCTGTCATCTTGGAGCCGGGCGTTATCAGCGGCACGGGGCTCCTTGCCCTGAAAGCCAATCATAGCACGGAGATTGGCGGAGGTATGATAACAACAGATGCGCGGCGCGTTCGGCGGGGTGGAGCACACAGACTCCAGCCGATGTCGGTGCCGTTAAGACGCAGCAGTCTACGGAGAGATCAGAAGTTCACAACCTCCGCACATCCAAACGTCCAGCAACTTATACTGCGCATTCGTACAATTTACTGCAGAGAATCAAGGGCTTGCGAAACAGGTATTTTACAAGCCCGGTTAGATATCGCGCTGAAGCTGCTAAGCCTGGACAGTTGACTATGAGTCTCTGTATACTTGGGAGGGGATTGGTCAGGTTCTCCGAGTCCAACAGTTGGCATTCGGGGATGGACTAGAGCCGGCCAGTAATTATCATACCCAGCACATATGATGAGATCAGGAAACTAGGGTAGCTTCAGTGGTGCGTTACTAAGTTGCGGGCAGTGTTGATAACAATACCTTACGGCCGCGAGCTGTTACAATCACCACAGTCGGGAGGCATTTAGGAATGGGTTAGGGTCTACAGAGCCGCGTGAATTATGGTCTGGCTTGCAAAGTCTTATCTACCGGATCTAGCACTTGAGTCATTCGGATTCAATCCTAATCAACGAGGCCTTCGGGACTCGTCATGCTCTTTTGCGTTGGCGAGCTTTCGTCTTTGCCCAAGAACAAATCTGATATGCCGCATGAAACGTCTAAACACTTGTCGATGTTAAGTCCTGTCCTTATTTCGGTTAACCAAGATTTCATCACACCCCTCTCTACTTCGCTATCGCAACTACAGACATAGTCTTCGGCGGTGAGACCCATATTGTCTTCGTGCTCCACAGCCTGCTTGGTGAGCAGCCCATTGTCAAACAGCCACTTGAAAAGTTCCACCTGACCATTCGAGGCAATCATCATCAAGCCTGTCACACCATGACAGCCGTCCGTGAATCCAGACCAATTGGCACCGCAAAGGATCAATAATCTAGCCACATCAGTATGTCTATGCGCTAGCGCTAGATGAAGAGGGGTGGCGTCGGGGCAGTCTTCTGCATCAAGGAGCCCATGGTTTTGTCGTAGAATATTCAGGTGAGAAGATGGGCACATGCAAGCATAAGTGGCCGTGACTTCGAGACCGAGCGTACTTCGCGAAAGATGATCTTCTAACAGCCAATAAACGGCTGCAAAATTTCCCACCGAGGCAGCGACGTGCAATGACGTGATACGACCAGCTGACAATGGCTCTTCCGTGTTGGTAGTCCAGGGCCAATGTGGTTCACAGGTGTGCCCAGGGAGGTGGAATGTCGCCCACAAATGCAAAGGTCGAAGGGACAAAACCTTCTCAAGAACCGGCAGGCCAACGACGGGATCTGCAGCTGCCGCCCAGAGGACGATAGGAATTGCGTAAGGCTTGAGCGTATAGTCGCGGGGAATTTCCTCAATGTCGTAGTTTGTGTGGATATTGATGCTACTCTGAACTTCCGTGTCGTCTCTGGCTAGTCCATTTCGGTACAACAGCGGTGACGCCGCCTCGTACAGATCGTGACAAGTCTGGGACACGGCACTTAGAGTAGAGACATCCTGAATCACCCCAACTATAGCCAAAACAATTTCGAATGGCAAACCTGGGATAGGCGATGCGGCTTTCATTCTGGAAAAAAACCGGGCAGATTGAGCTTGGGGTATTGGGCGTTTGTCGAGTGGCTGTTTGCATGAGCTTCTAGGCTGACTTCGGGTAAAGTAGAAAGGGATGCGTCGTGAAGAGATCACAATAAAGAAGTTTAGATGGAAAGGTTGCGGGATAATCGTAGGACATATGCGACGGGAGGTGTCGTGCTACATATACGTCGAGAGACGAACAGACGTAATTCCCCCAACCACCACGTTCGGTCCCCTGTGGCGTTCTGTCATTACACAAATTTTCGACGGGGCGCTAAGTGTTTCATGTAGTCGATGATGTACGAGGACCGTTGGCGACGGCGCAAATTCGATGTCTCAAGCGCGAAACTTCACGAGCTGATCTAAGTTAGAGCACGCCAAGAATGCTTAGGTGAGCAGCATATAACTAAGAAAACCAGCCACAGCATTAGGAAATACCCAGTTGAAAGCTGCCTCTAATCCCGACGCTTCCTTTGTTCGGTAAGGTACACCGTCAGGTTTGTGTATTGAGCCACTCACGTCAAGGCAAAATCGTGGAACATCGACCCCGGGCAAAATTGGAGACGATGTTATGTGCCCCGTAAGTGCAGGAAAAGGATCATTGCATCCAAGATTAATACTGCTATCCCTGAGAAGATACTTGTTCGCAGGTTATTAGAGCTAGAGTAAAGAAA